AGGAATCCCTCACCTCTTATGGCAGAAATCAGCTGCTTTCACCTTCTCTTCCACCATGGATTTCTGCCTCTGGACTCCCTGCTCCTCCGATCCTGTCCAACCTTCATCATCATCGTCGTCATCAGATATGCCAGTATAGATGACTCACTGGCTGTCTGATCTTGCTTTGTCTGATCTAGGGGGCATGGGGCTGGAGTTGTTTCCATCTGAGCACATCTGGAGTGAGATGGGGGCGGAAAGGGCTTTGCGATCCCCCCTTGTCCCTAAGCACACAGGGTTTCATGGCTGTGCCAGGCTGCCATGGCCTCCAAGAGGCTGGGAATCACTGGCAAACAGCGATGCTTTGATCCTGTTTTCTTCTTCCCAGCTTAGCCAATGCTAGGAGTCAGCTCTCTGAGGTCAGAGACACCTGGGAATGAGGAAAATACCCCCAGCAACCTTCCTCTCACCTTTGCAAAGTGCCCCCAAAGATTATTGCACTATATAAAAAGTCATGGCTAACCCCTCCCCTCCTGGTGACCAGCAGCAGAGGGCTGGGGATGAGACCTGTTTGCTCAGAAACGCTGGTGGACGTGTCCTGAGCAGAAACAGTCCGCGCCTCTGCCATCTATTTCCAGCTCCTCCATCCTCCGAGCCAACCTCTCAAACTGTTTGGAAGAGGAGGTTGCCATAGAAATGCAAAACAAAGTCCCCGGTGTCTCCAGGCACAGCCCTTGCTCATCATTCACAGTCAAACCTCCTCTATTAAAAGTTCTCGGTGGGAGCTGTTTGTGTTTTTGTTACCAGGCAACTCAATGTGCCCTGGGCTTTGCCAACATGTCGGGCAAGCTAGTTTGGCACCTGGGTCACATTCCCCGATGGTGTCACCTGCCGGTCAGATGAGCTTTGGTGGCATCGTGGCAGGATGGGTAACATGCAGGATCTTAGGGGACTGGAGTGCCCGCGGCATGGGCAATGCGGTGGTGGGGGCCTTTTGTGTCTGCTGCCAGTCACTGGGTTGCTAATGACTGAGATAATATGCTTAGGTATGAGGATAAGCTCATGCATCTCGGATTTAATTTGTCTATAAGGCACAAATCTACACTGCCTTCCAAAGACTAAGGCTAAAAACAGATATCTGGGTTTCTGTCCCATTGTACAAGCCCATTGTCCCCCTTTGGACCTGTGAAGCATCCAAGATGAAACATTTCCTTGGGACGATCTTGGCTAACTGGAGTTCAAGCTGTGTGTGTAAATCATTATCCCCTGCCTGTTCGGATGCAATTCAAAGCCTGGGACCATCAGACCCAGGATAAACCCCCCATCTGTTGTCACCCTGAGAGGTATTCCCATGGGTCAGCTATGTGAAGGGAGATGAGGGTCTCAGTCCCACGTCCAACCGCCACTGTAAAGCCACTTTGTCAGCGGGGCACTGCTTGACAGGAGGAAGACTGAGCCCCTGAATTGCACCCTCTGCATGAAGGCTGAGGAACCCAGCCCTGGCCTTGTGGCCACCTGCACTGTGCAATCAGCAGTGCCTCCAGCCCCGCGCCCTTTGTCTGTGGGTTAGCAAATCCCCTGCATTTTTTCTGTGCTTTTGCTTTATATTCGACCCATGGTGCCTGCAGCCAGAGGTCCTGATCCCATGAACGCTTACAGCATGTACGTAGCTTTAAGCTTGTGAGTGATCCCATGGGGTGCGCGCAGGGGACCGATTGCACATTATGCCATTCAAGCATATGTTATGTCATAAGTGTTAAGTGCATCCTTTGGGAAATGCCATCATCCTCACGGTGGTTTCCCCAGGGGCAGGGGATGACCACCTTCTGGGGTAGTACCCGCGGAGGTAATATATAGTGATGAACTCTCCTATGTTCATTGCCCGTGGGAAGATCTTGGCTTTACACCCACTTTATGGAAATGCCTAGCTTGCTCCTGCGGCCTTACGGTTGAGGGCGAGCAAAACTCGGGGGCATCCGAACCTCAAGCCTCTGGGCTTGGGCCTGCACATAGGATGCCTGCCAAAGGGTTTGGAAACATTTGAAGCCCCAGGTGGGGGTGAAGGATGTTTGCCGGTAGCAGGGCCACATATGGTTCTTGAATGACTCACGGATTTGGAATTGATTTGGATGATTTGGCTTGGAACATGAAAAATTTTACTTAAAAAAAAGTGTTAAGTGCATACTTTGGCCTGCAGAGCAGGGCATAAGTGAACAGGCAGACTGAGCTGAGAAAGGAGAGGATGGAAGAAGAGGGGGTCATAGGAAACTCCAGCTGGAAGGGGCCTCATGAGTCAAGGCAGAATCAGCTCTGGTTTTGCCCTCCTCCTCAGGCCCAGTGAGTCCCAGATCCACAGGGTCTGCTCCCGCGGTGGCTCCCTTACTTTTGGGACTAGCTAGCAGACTGTGTAGTGTCAGCCCTTGCTATTTTGTGCAGGCTCAGCATCCCTTTATTACCCAGCTTTCCATTGAAAACATTATAAAAGGTGCACAGGGGTTGGTGCAAGCTGAGGGCAAAGTATTACAGCCTCTCCTACCCTGCTGCAGCCCCAGGTTCAGGGTAGAGAAACGTTTGTATTGTACAGCCCCCAGCGCCCCCCGGACTCCACGGTAATGGTAACAAGACTGTCGTGCTTTATATCACACGTGTTCTTGCTGCATCACGGCCTGTCCTTAATGCAAACAGAGCCCTGTCATCTGCTGCATCTGATGCCCTATCGTTGGCACCTGATACCCTCCGAGCAGGTCCCCGCAGCTCTTCCCATTGCCCTGGTTCGTTGCAGGGCTGCGGTTCTCCCTGCCCGAGCTGCAGAACTCCTTCTGAAGTGTCTCTTTCTTTGTCTCCCAGGTGGTTAAAGGTCTCTACCTTGGGAACATCCGGGGTAAGTGTCTTTTGCCAACTGCTTGCTGTTTCCCGGGCACATTTCCTATCACCGGTGTTATCCAGGATGTCAAGCGCAGCACAGTTCCTGCTGCCAGCAGTGAAGAGAGGGCAAAGGCCTGACCCTGGCAGGTGCAAAGTACCTCCCAGAGGATGTGAACTTGCTCAAACAACCATTGACTTCACTGTGAGTTGAGGTCTCAGCACCTCCAGGCTAGGACCCGGGACTCGGGTTCTTTCTCATCTGTGTTTGGACCTGAAATCCCAGCCCGGTGGAGCCTGCCGTGATGTCGCGCTCGGTCTCGGATCCTCAGCAGCGTGATGTTTGCTTCTGGGGTCGAGGGTCCTGACCTAAGCAAACCCTCCCTGCAGGCTCCAGCTCCTTGCATGCGTGCTGCATATGCAGTCCGGCTTCTAGCAGCCCGGCGGGAGACTCGGTGCTGATATTTGCATGTCATTTCCCCCGTGCCCTTCTGCACCAGAGAGCTCACCTGGCGATATAAATGAGGGACGTATCCCAGAGCAGGCTGGCTCGAGGGAAGCCTTCCTTGGTATGTTTTTCCAGACTGGGCTATAACACTCTAAATACTCATTTATAAGGTCTTACAGTGCCTTTTCCTCCTCCGTAGGCTTGCTTCAGACCCACCTTAGCTGCGAAGCCTCTGTGAAATCAGCCTGTTAAATGTCTTTGCAGGCAGGCTGGGATATAATTGCCAAGAGATGAGACCCCCAAGTCTCCCTCTAGAATAACTCTTGCATCTCTCTGGTGCTGCTTCTAACCCCTGGCCTCAGTTTCTTGTCTTAGACTATGACTCTCCAGGTCAGGCTTCTTGCATGAAATGATTCTGCCTCTGATCAGGGCTTCTGCATGCAGCTGCAGTGTACCTACTCAATACTGCTCCTGGTCCCGTTGCTAGCTACCCTGTGGCACGCATGTCATAAGTGGCACAGGCAGCCTCCTGGAATGGCTTGTGGCAGACTGGGGAGGGAGCAGAAAGCAGAGCAGCAGATTGGCCAGGGCAAGGGGATCAGAGTAGCACCTGGGGAGGGTGTGGGGCTTAAACTGTGGCACACCTGCCCTCTCCCTTTTCCACTGGCCTGGAGCATCATAGTGAGTGCCGCAGATGCTGTGCAAGTCTAGGGCAGCAGAAAGGGGCCAGGAGCTTGAGCACCAGCTGGAGACTTGGGGACCATGCAACCGATCCCTTGTATAACCTTGGGGAAATCACTCAGCCTCTCTGTGCTCATCAGGAAATCAGGATCACAGCACCACCCAGCCTAGCAGGGTTATGATAATGGTGAGGGGTGGCCCAGACATTATATTACCAGGGAGCAGGCAGAGAGGTTACAGGCTAACGGCTGTGTCTTTAGCTCGCTAGCTCCAATGCCAATGGAAAAAGTTGGCCTTGTTATTCAAAGGATCTAATTTCCACCTGGCCAGGAATCCTGGTGCAAAAAGAGACTCTCTTTAAAGGTCAGGGAAAGGCTGGATGGATGTCCCATGAAGAACCGTTCCTCGTGATTATAAACTATTTCTCACCCCAGCCCTCATTTAGAAGTGGGTCAGACAGCTCTTCCGTGACCAGGAAACAGGTCAGGTCCCAGGGCTAATTTAGGCGGGTCGGCGACACTGCAAGGGAAGTGATGGAGAGAGCAAGGCTGTGGGCTGGTGTGTCTGGGGAGCCTTCCCACCTAGAGACGGCAGAAGCATGAACAGCCTCTGTGTGTTTGCACCCCAGCAGGATAAGGGGGTAGTCTGGCACTACATCTAATACCATAGTCCCCACACTGCTAATAGGGATCCTCCTTTAGGACAGGGGCAAGCCTATCCTTTCGGAGAGGGAAGAAGCTGCCTCCCGTGGTGCTGTGAGGTCCTGAACGAGCACCAAGGTGCAGCTGCTTGCAGGCCTTTTAATTCTCCATGCCCCCGGTGGGCGTTAATGCACTAATCCTCACATCCCTCCAGCGACAGGGCTTGGCTTCGGGACGTCCCGTGCAATGGCTCAGTTTCAGACCCTTACTCTTTGCTTTCCAGTCCAACTAAAAGCTTCACAGTGACGCAGCAGAGGCTCTGCCACGAGTTACCACCGCCCCGAGGCAGATGGGCTGCTCGTACCATTGACCCCCATCTTCACAAGGGGGGAAACTGAGGCACAGAGCATCTGAGCAGCTTGCTCAGGCTCACAGAGGGAGCCGGCATCAAGGTTGCTGGTACTGGATTTCTGACTGCGGGGACCTTTCTGTGCAGAGCTGTACCCCACATGGAAATCCTCGTGATCCACCCTGAGAGCAATCAGGGCCTGTCAGTTTTCATTTGTGTCCAAATTATTCTTGAGAAAAAAGTCAAACATTTCTTCTCTAAATGCCAAGAACATGGCATTTTTAGGAGGAGGGAAAAAAAAAACCCTTTCCTATTCCCAATGATTTCTTGTTCCTAGTAACATCAGAGCCATTAGCACCAGGAAAGACCTATTGGATTATTGATTTCATTATCGTGCTCCGGAGACTGATCGGATAGTAAACGGGTGCTATGTCGGATGGTAGCCAGAAGACCGCTGCGTATTTTCAATGCAGCAGAGAAAGTGCTACCCCTCAGAGCTGCGTGAGGATGATTTTAAAAGAGAGGATGGGCACTTATGAGAATTTTGTTTCTGCAGATTCTGAGGACAAAGAAAATTTGGCAAGAAACGGGGTCACCCACATCCTGTCTGTGCATAACAACGCCAAGCCTGTGCTGGAGGTGAGTGTGTTACGGGCACGGGGATGGGGAGGGGAGGGGGCTTGTGTACCTCTGCTCACAAGTGCTTTTGGGATCCCTGGCCCATGCACGGTCAGGGTCACTAGAGGGCACTGCAGCCCCGTGCAAAGTTACCAGGATTGTTGCAGGCGAGGAAAGGGGCACACGCATGGGCGCAGAAGCTGTACCCACGTGGAGGCGATTAGCGTGCACTTGCAGATAGTTTTTGCTGCATGCACGTGCCCTCTTGCACCCAGGCCCTTTCTCAGCCTCAGGCTTCTGTTCCTGCCACACGCTCTGTTCAGTCGGATCGGCTGGGCTGCAACCCCTTGGTGTATTGGTGCCTCTCTGGGCACCGGAGTAGATCCAAATTGGTGCCTCTCTCACTGAGACTCACTGAGGTGGGAGCTGCCATGAGGATTCCCACAGGCGCCTTTGGAGCTGCCCGGGTGAACCATTATGCACTGGCCAGATGACCTCTAGGCCCAAAGCAAGGGCCTCCAGCTGGGTCTGGATGGGGACGTCTCCCTAGGAAGAAATAGCTCCTGCCCCTGTCCTCCGCTGAACCTAGTGCTCCATTTCCCACGCAGGTATAACAGGTCCCCAACCCCATCTCCACAGCCCAGGGAACACCATGCACCTGCTCCTCTGTAAACACATCCTCTCCCCAAACTAGTGAGGTTTCCTGAAGAACGGGCCAAGGCATCCTGCTTTGCACCTCAGCCTAGATTGCAGCCAGCCCATGATCCCGTTAGCTCTGCTCTAAGCCTCTTCCTTGCAGCCATGCAGCAGCTGGATGCTGCCCCATTCAATGGGACTTTGGTGGGAACGAGTCAGCAGCAGGGATGCAAGGACCCTTTACTGGGGCCCTTTACTTTATTGAGAGACAAGGTACTTTTTGTTGACTGATGGACCATGCTGTAATGCATCACAGCCTGTGCCATTTGCATTGCTTCCCACTGTCCTGGCATCTGCTGGAAGGATAAAAACCTTACTGCTGCTTCAATTAGAGGAGTTTCCCTTTGGGTCACAAGGAGGAGGCTTGTGGTTCTACAGGGACAAGGGTTTTGGTCCCCCCAGATATGAGGGTGCTGCCTTTGGCTGCTTGCAGCTCCTGGGTTTGGAGCAGCACCTCTACCGGGGGTTGTTCCTCCTCCAAGGAGCATACGCAGCGCCATACTGGGTCAGGCCCGTGGTCCATCTAGTGCAGTAGGCAGTCCCTGACAGTGGCAGAAGGGGATGCTATAGAGGTAGAGCACTGAATTGGATATCTCTAGTGATCCATTTCCGATTCAATATCCTCCCTGGCATCATTGAAATTGTAGGGGAGGGCTGGAAGAGACCTCTGCAAGTCATCTAGTCCAACCCCCATGTAGTCCATCCACTATTCTACATTTAGAAATGCCAGAGGAAACCTCTCCTACCATCCTGTTCAATAGCCATTAATAGATCTATCACCCATCCGTTTATCCAGTCCCTTGGTGAACCTGGCTCTGCTCTCTGCCTCCACCACCTCCTGTGGCCATGAGTACCACAAGTTAAATACACATTGCATTAAAAACTCAGTGCCCGTGCTCCTCTTTACACACTCGAAGGGTTGTCATGGGCCAGGAAAGCTGGAGGAACAGCTGGCTGCTGGAGAGGTTTTATTTTTACCCGGCTGCTGTGCAGGTCAGTGGGGCCAGGGATGCATTGCGATGGGATGCAGTTCTCAGGGGAGTCGTACAAATGCCGTCCGTGCACAGAGGGACTGGGAAAGGGTCTGTTTCCTGCTCCAGTGTCTGGGGCAAGTTGTCTTGTTTTCTTTGAGAGAGGGAGAAACCACCTCTTAGAGGAGCCTGAGCTGCAAACCCTGACTTCAGCACTCCCTTTGGGCATGCGGGCAGCTCAGCGGTGGTACGAGCATTGCTGGCTGGGGCTGGAAAGGAGGTGCTGAGAGCTCCTGGGGTTCTCCAAAGACCTCTGAGAGCCACAGGTCTTACTTGTCTTTCTCTGGGTGCATGCACATATCTGAAGCTGCATATACACATGGCATGACTGCTATCTGTAGCATTTCCCTCTCCTCCTGGGATTTAACTTTGTCCCAGCACTGGCTTTTGGACTAAATCTCAGGACACATACAGAGACCGGTCTCTCTGCCTCCTCCAGACCCAGGGCTCTGCGAGGAGGCTCCTGGCATGAGAAGGGCAGAACAGCATGGTAGAAAATAGTGGGCAAGAGAGGGGGAAAAATGACCAGAGAGAAATTGAGACCCAATATAAGGTGCTGGGCTTTCCCAGTTGTTCCTGCGAGCATGGTCCTTCCCCACTATGGTCAGGATAGCAAGCATGTGTGTTTTAGGGCAGATAACTTGCCAGGTGTGTTGGGCCTGGCTAGAGAAATTCATGCCTCTCCTGTGCATCTCTGTGTCAGCAGCACCCACGCCCCCTGCTATTGCCCTTCAACCCCTCCATGCTTATTCCTCTTGCCGATTATTATGAGCAGAGTCTCATTCTAAAGGCTACGGCCAAACCAGGCTCCCCGTACACTAGGCATTGGGCTCAATGAGAGGCAAACCTTATTCTGAAGAACTTGTGGGCTAACCAGTTGGGGCAAGTCCAGGCAAAGTGACTTGCCCAGGGACACCCAGCAGATCAGTGGCAGAGTCAGGAAGAGGCCCTCCCCCACCAACAAGGGCCAGGCTGCGTGTTACTCCCTGGGCCTATCTGCTGAGCCAGGAAACAGCCTCAAACCCTATCCCTGTGTGAATACCCCTGCCTGGGAATACCAAGGCCTGTCCTCTCTCCTTCCCCCAAGAGAACTGCAAATAGAAATAACAGCTGGAGCATTTTCCTCCTTAAGGGCCATTGAGTAATTTGCAGGGGGAAAGGAATCAGAAACGGCTCCTGGTGCCAGGAGAGCAGCAGCTGCCGGGTGCAGGAGCAGGGCCATAGCAGACGATGGTGAACCACAGCCAGATCTTACAACACACGCGTGCTCGCGGCGCTGCCGGCAAAGGGGGAACCGGAAAGGGAGCTGGGCAGGGGGTTGAGCAACGCGTCAATCACAGAGCGGAGCCAGGAACCACAAACCCAGCGCCGTTCCCATGCAGGGAGCAGCCGGGCCGGTGCCTCCCTTCTTCCGCTCTGGGGGTCCCGGCTCCCGCTGGGAAGAGGGGGCTGTTTGCTGTATGTGGGAGATGTCACTGGCCTGGACCAGCGTCCAGTTGCAACATCCTCTCTGGCTGGGCTTCGCACTTTGGTGGGAAGCAGGCGTCAGCCGCGCAGCTCTGCGCCTGCGTGTGCCCATCCCACATTGCCTAATGCACCTCGCTCCTGCCTGTCCTGCTTGCCTGATGCTCCCCTCCTGCATGCAGGGGCACGGTCCTGTTGCCATGCACCAGGCCCAGCTCCCGGCTCTGCTAATGCCCCTCATTCCCTGCCCACAGCCCCCTGCCCCTCCAAGCTAAATCTCTGGTCTGCTGCACTGCCAGCGCTCTCCCTCCTGGGTTGCACTCCACCACCCCGGGCTCCCTGCAGTCAGCTCCGTCCATGCCCTGTGGTTCCCTCGAAGTCTGCAGAGGCTGGCAGTCGTGCCAGGGCGGGCAGTGGTTTGGTCCTGAGTAAGGAGTAGGAAACCACTAAACCCCTTGTCCCCGGGCTCTGTTGGAGTCTCTCTGCTGGGAGAGGTCAGTTCTCACGCTATGCTGAGGTTTCGGGCAATGCGTGGCTGTGCACTAAGCCCAGCCTGTGCTTTCCAGCTCCTCCGTGAGGTTTGGCACGTGTGGGTGGGTGGGTGGGGGGTGCTGGGAAACTGCAAGGATGCAAGGCTGGAAGGAAGGAGCCTGCTTTGCAGAGCAACAGAGCTGTCGGCAGGCTGGGCCGTTCAGTCTCGTATCCCGGTCATACCCCTGTTTTTGCTCGTATGCCAATCTCACTCAAACCTGCATTCATCCTGCTGTCCCAAGCCTGGGCTCCCCATAGGCAGCGCTACCAATGCCCCTCAGCTCCGAGCTGTGCCCCAAGCCCCTCACCTCCACCTCCTGGACCTCCACCCCACCTCCACTTCCACCGTGAGAGTTGTGTGGGTCCAGGATCATGCCCAGCAGGTAAGAAGGAGACCGTAAGGCAAGGAGGTCTGACCTGCCCTCTCTGACCTTAGCTTCATCCTGGGGTCAGGGCAGGAGCAATCATGTTTTGCTTCCTCGGTGGACTGCTCCTCGCATCACTTCTTGGAGGTGGGGAGGAGAGGGGGATGTCTCCATCGTGCCGAAGGGGAAGCAGCAGACCTGACTCCCCTCCAGATGTGGGAGGGAAGGTTTGAATTCAGGAGCTCCTGGCTCCCACATCTGTGTTCAGGCCGTGGACTCCCTTTAGCAGTGCCCTTTCTGTTTGGATGTCTCCTGACCCACCTGCCGGCCTCAAAGGGGCCACGAAACCCAGGTTGTATTTGTCAAGAACTGGGGGGCCATTTCCTTGCTGTGAAGCAACATAACGTCTTCGCCCAGCTGTTCTCATGTCAACAGCTGCTCTATACGAGCACAGCCTGCCCCTCAGCCTGCTTATCTAGAGATACCCACGAGTCTGTATGGAGGTGAAGCTGCTTTGGGGAGGGGGGCAGCTGGTGGAGGGCAGTGCTGCTTCGCACTGCTTGATCCATGACATACAAAAATGCAGTGAATGCATGTAATGAAAGGCTTGAAACAGGACGTGCGTGTGGTACCACCCTCTGTCTTCTGCAGGAGACAAGGAATTAGAGCAATGGTTTCTGGCCTAAGACTTACGTTCTCCATGGTCCCTGTTTCAGATATATAGTCCCAAAGCCAGATGCTCCCTGCAAACTTGTGCCAAAGTGCACTGAACCCAAGGGAAGTCTTTCCACTGCCTTCAGTGCACTCGGACTTTTCTGTGTTCTTATGCAGCGCTTGGCAAAAATTGCCCCTTTTTTTTTTTTGCAGTTTAATGCATCACACTTTACACATACAGGTTTTTATTTTTTTATTTTTTTGCAATTTAAATGAGTTTGTTGCGGTGCAAAAGAAACCGCAGGCTCTAATGCAGTTTATCCCAGGCACCCTCAGAGGGACGGGCGAGTGGGAGACTCTCCATGACCCAGGACATTGTTCAGGCAGGATTCCCATCCACTTCACTGGGTAGAAAAAACCCTTTTCTCATTTTAGCGCAGCCCTAAAGGGAGGGAGGCAGCATTGTTTTAAAGAAATGAATAGCAGCGCCCTCCCAACAGCGCAGCATTCCTGATGGATGTGTGTATTTAAATAGCTGAAAGAGGAAATGGCATTTGTGAGAGCAGTTTCCTCCATCCCTGTCGATAGAGCCTCTTCCTGACCAGCATCTGACCCCTCCAGGAGAAATCCATCTATGTCCATTATAGCACACTATCCCCAGCTTGAGCCCATGACAGCTCTACATCATGGAGTAGGTGGGAACGAACTGTTTTACCCATAGACTCGTAGGGGTGGAAGAGCTGTGTAAGTTCAAGCCCTTGCACAAAAGCAGGAGTTGCCATTCCCAAACCAGCCCAGGGAGATACTCATCCACTCTCTGTTTGAACCACGTGCCCAGACTGCTGAATTCATGGTGTTGGCACAGTTTCAGTGCATGGTGAAAGCCCCATCTACAGCCGCAACCGCAATGCACCTGGGCAGGGAGATTGCGTTGTGTCGAGGCCCCCGACCAACTCTTAACCACGGGTTTGTGGGATGCTGAGAGTCTCGCGTGCTTCCTTCAGGTTCACCATGGGAAGCCCAGGATTTCAGAGCTGATACACTGGCTGCATTTCAATTTTTTCCAGGTTAACCCTCAAGCATGTAAAGGAAAGGAAGGCCCTTTTCATTTGAATTAAAGCTGGGCTCACTGTATTATTTGTTAATTCACTCCAGTGGGTGGATGGACCCCTTCATGTCAATGGAAAAAAATCTCTTGGGTTCAGTCCAGCCATGGCTGTGGATAGCCGGAGGTTAGCAGAATGACCTTGATAGCATTAAGTGATGGACATTGCTTTAAGTCAGGAACAAATACAAATCATGTCAGGCCTGAAGTGGATTTTATGAATGATCTAGTTGACCGAGCCCAGAAAATCAGTGCCAGTTGCTTGGGGAAACCATTGTATTGGCCGGTCTCTTCTAAGGTTTAGGGGCTGGAAGGGACCTCATGAGACCATGGGGTCCAGTGAATCTGGGTGAATCTGCGACCATTGTAGATCTGGTGTAGTAAGGGGTGTTGTGCTGAGGCTATAGGAGCTCTTTTCTCTCTGAAATCAATAGGGAAACTCCTGGGTTTCAGGAGGGTCTGCATTTCATCTCAGGATGGTAGCACTTCGAGTGGGGAGGGCGAGCATTCGTCGTTCAAAGCAGCAAAGGGATCTTCATGATGTTACTTTCTTTCTGTGTCAGGACGTGACGTACCTCTGCATATCGGCGTCGGATTCGTCCGCTCAGAACCTGTAAGTCCTAGCTCGCACCAGGAGCCGAGCGTCAATTTTTAAATCGATGAGAAGTTCACATTTTAATCGCCTCGCTAGCATGATCTCGACATTATGCTGAACTTAAACACAGCCTGCATCGTTTAAGACTGTTAGTCATAATTTTAGATTTGAAACCACACGTCCAGCTGTATACATGCCTGTGCACTCCGGGCTGGTAAAAACACGAAAAAGTAGTTTCCTCAAAAATGTCCAAGTTGTTTCTGTTATACAGGATTCAGAACGGATTCATTTTTCATTTGCTTTAAAATAAAAAGATTGTGGTATTTTGAGGTAGCAGTGATGCCAGAGAAACCTGGCCTCTCTCCAGCCTATGGAGAGCTCACTCACAAGGAGTAGCGGATCTGCTGTCGGGTAACCTGTCCTCAGAAGCATTATTGCCAACAAGAGCAAAATGATTATCAGCATTTTTGCAAATGAAAACCATCGATAAGCATTTTGATAAAAATGGATAACATTCCCTGTGCACATATTGCAAGCAGGACTGCGAAAAGTCACCGAATATTTCATGAAAAAAGTCAACAGCATTGCCGTTTTGGGTGAAAAATTGTTTCTGAAAAAAAGACTTTTTTTCCCAATGCAAGAGGAGAAATTTGGACTAGTTGTATCAAGTGGTATCTGTAATTGTGAGCACATGGTTTTCTGTCCTTTACAGAGCCCCGTGTCTTCCACCCACAGCGCTGTCCCCTGGAGTACCGATTAGTTTTACTGCCGCAAGGTGCACGCGTCTGACCTCGCAGTGTTTCCCAACCAATGGGATGTATCCTACTGGTGGGATGTGAA